GAGAGAGAGAGAGAGAGAGAGAGAGAGAGAGAGAGAGAGAGAGAGAGAGAGAGAGAGAGAGAGAGAGAGAGGTAACGCACATTTAGACGCACGCACACACATACGCACACACACAAAACAAAAACAAACAGAAAAAAAACGCACACGAGCGCATACACGCACACGCACACGCACACGCACACACACACGCACACGGAGACACGCACTCATACACACACGAACGCACAGACGGACTGACCCGCACGCAGAGAGAAGGTACGTTGGTGGATCTAGCACACTGAGACGGCGATAGGAGCTCCCTCGTCGTCGTAGTGGATCGCAACAGGTCGGCCGGAGTTATCTAGGCTAACCCTGCCGGCTTCAAGGATGGCAGTGACCTTCATGCCGCCATGGATTGTAGCGAGCACACCCTCATCTTCCACATCGGCGAAGGACTTCTTTCCTGAGTTCAGATCTCTCACTGTTTCTACAAACTTTTCCACACTTCGGTACCCATACCCCATTTGTCCAGCGAAGAAACCCTTAGCGTCCGGCTTGTACCTCATATACAGCGGATTGAGAGACGAGAAGCCATGTCCATCCATGGCGTGCGTGTAGCCCCTGTGCGCTTGATCTACTCTAAGCTCTCCCTTCTGTCCCATGTAGTGAAAGTACTGCTGCGTGTGGCAATCCCCCAACGGGGAAATCCAACTAGCAGTATATAATGCGGTCCCTTTGGACCCATCTTTGCTCCTCCACTGTACCATCAGCGTGATTGTGTCTTCCACCTCTCTGTCAATCATACGATTAGCAACGCCATCGGACGCCATAGCCACCACCTCCTCAGGTCGGGACTCCTCTCCCACTGCCCACGCATGGACATCGATATGATGAGAATTCAAATAGTAAGATATATCGGAGCTCTTTCCCGCCCATCCTGCGAATGTGTGCAGTTGCTTCTTCGGCTGAGTCATGGTGCTTGAGAAGAAGGAGAACCCTCCCAGCTCGCTCCTAATGCGCTCTTTGGCATCTGCATATACTATGTCAAATCGCTTATGGTATTCGACCGCGACAAGTACCGATCGGGATCTTGCCGCCTCGCAGAGCCTTCGGTGTTGATCCAGAGTCTTCACGGCCGGTTTGGCAAGCAACACGTGTAACCCGCTCTCGATGGCGGCCATAGCCATGTCGAAGTGAGTGTCATCTGGTGTGAAGATGGTCACAGCATCGCCTTTCTTCATCGTCTTGATGGCCGCCTGATAAGCAAGAGGGTCGAGCTCCACGTCATCTGGAGGAAACGTCGCTAAGCTGACATCCATGTTTTTGTAGACGTCAGCAATCTTCGTCCGCAGCTGCTCTCTGATGGGTTTGAACTCCAGACCGGTCGAGTTACACAGAGCCAGGCGATTGACGAGTCCGCGCCGCCGCAAATCAATCAAGGTCACCGCTATCACACCGGCGGGTTTGTCGCTTGCGGCGCCGTGCTGACCGCGAACAAACCCAGTCGTGTACTCCCCGGCGCCAATCATGAGCACATCAACAGATTCCATTTCCCTCCTTCTCGTACTCTCTGCCTCCTCTTCTCCCCTCTCTCTTCTCCCGTCTCTCTTCTCCCCTCTCTCTTCTCCACTCTTCTCCTCTCTCTTCTCCTCTCTCTTCTCCTCTCCCTTTTCTCCTCCGGTAGACCTCGTCGTCTCCTCGTCCGCTTATGTTCCGATAATCAGACTCAGGGCGTACTACTCACACTACCACTATTCCGAATGTATCTGACTGTAATTACGGCCAGACATGGATGTATCTGGCTGCATTTCCGTCCAGAAACAAGTAAAAAGGTTCTAGTGTGAGTATGCCCTCAGAACAAAGGAAAGGAACTCGTGAGGAGGAGGAGAATGCAATCTGTATATTTATTTATGACTATCTAACGAACATGGAATTAAAAACATACTACATATATATCTGTTTGTGACGATATATATATAGATAGATATATGTTGGCCCGTTATTACTGTAAATTGTCACCAAGGTAAAGACAGGGGACTCTCATCCATATACTACATAGATATCACTGTGCATTGTGCATGTCACAGTACAACGTACATATTATCGTGGCACTTGATATAATACACGTGGCAATGCAGATGATACACGTGGCAATGCAGATGATACACGTGGCGAGCGATCAATCCATGACGATACATATGCTAAGCAGCTATGAGATGAGGTCAGGCTGAGTGCGGTGCCCGTCCCAAGTTACTGTATTTGCTTCACAGCCGGCGAACGCACCTGCACGGAATGTTTGCCGTAGAAAAAGAAACAGAAAAAGAAAAAGAGAGAGAGAAAAACATAATGCGGTTTTTCTTTTTTCAATCAGATATTACTGTGAATTGAGCACAACAGATATATTACTGTGAATTGAGCACAAAAGATACTACATTTGGCCAAGTGCAATTTCACGAAAAAAAAAAAAAAAAAAAAAAAAAAAAAACAGATACTACATTTTTTATTTTTTATTTTTTTTTTATTTTTTTTGGGGAAAAAGCAAGGAAGTCCATTATCATGATAACATGAGGCCGGGAATTCCTCACAAACAACCCGGAAAAGAATCATGTCACAGTACTGGGACTTTCACCCAGTTTCAGTTCGTGGGCCTTACCCCAACTACACTTGGTATTTCTCCAGCAACCTCAAAAGGAAAATAGAAGGGAAAAGTTATAGAAGCTCCCCGCGGCAAAACCTTTGTATGGATATCTCCCCAAAATGGACTTGCTGCATTTGAGGTCCCCCAATAACTTTTCTGTTACTGGTAGGGCCTCAATCCGGGGCTGAGGCCGCCGCAGCTTGACAACCAAGGCTCAAGTTTCCTTTTTTTTTTTTTTTTTTTTTTTTTTTTTGATGAGTCACTGCTTTTATTATAACATAAATGAATGAGGCCCGGAATCCCTCAACATCTCAACCCGGAAATGGAACCATTGCTGGAAACCGGGTCCAGCGTCCCGTGAACCGCCAAGGACTCATCAGAAGAATGGGCAACTGGATAGAGAGGAGAGAAAAACCAAGGAGAAAGATTAGAGATAAAGGAACCTGGATAGAAGAAGGATAACTGCTGAGGTACCTATCTGGGGGCTACAAAGCTCAGACCCTCTCAGCTACACAATAGGTGAACTGTCTAATAAGGCTATATGCTCAAGTTTCCATTCCGGTAGTCACGTCGAATTTTCAGCCGCCAGCCAACCCAGTTGTACGTGGACTATTTTCGGGTTGGGTACATTCAAGAGGGCATAGCATACTTTCTTCACCTCACCTGGGCCCAATTCAAGAAAGATACATCCAAGAAAGTGCAAGTGTGCCGCAGGTCCGAAAATGACTTCCCGCGGACCTCCTGCCATTTTTGCATAGCGGGCGTTAGGCGGCCGGAGGTACTTGGGCCTTCACCTCACCTGGGCCCGATTCGAGAAAGATGCATCCAAGAAAGTACATCCAAGAAAGTACATCCAGGAAAGTGCGAGTGTGCCGCAGGTCCGAAAATGACTTCCCACCATTTTTGCATTGGGGGCGTTACCGGGCTAGTACGGCCGGAGGTACTTGGGCCTTCACCTCACCTGGGCCCGATTCGAGAAAGATACATCCAACAAAGTGCAAGTGTGCCGCAGGCCGAAAGGAAACTTCGAAAAGAGCCAAGCTTATCAGCTTCCGTGGCCTCAGGCCCGGTCTGAGGCCCTAGACCCCGGAGCAAGAGTAACAAAAAAGTTATTGGGGGACCTCAAATGCATCAAGTCCATTTTGGGGAGATATGGATACAAAGGTTTCGCGGCCGGGAGCTTCTATAACTTTTCCCAAAATAAAACCGAAAAGAAAGAAAATACCCAAAAGAAAAATGCCAAAAACAAGGAAACCAACACGACAAAGAACTACCTTCCTAAATCTACTTACTCCTAATTAGCCTACTTACTTCTACTATCTCCGATACTACATTTGATCTTAGCCAGAAGGCCCCGGCTATATGAATGAAAAAAAAAAAAAAAAAAAAAAAAGAAGGCCGAGAAAGTTCCTGTCGGCAGCCATGGTAGACTGCAAGGGATAGGGTAGGAAGGAGAGTGTCTAGGAACTACCTCAGGAACAATTCAATTCCACTCTGCCGTCTTGGGCCGGGGTCAGGCTGGTTTAGGCCTGTGTATTGGGACTTAAGTAGCCCTTCCCCCCTCCCCTCCCCTCTCTTCCACTGCCCTCTCCCGCTTCCTTATCTCCCTTCTCCTCCCCCCGCCCCCCTCTTGCTCCTACCTCCCCCACCCCCAGTCTTGAAGCCCCTTTAGTTTGTAATCCGAAGTCGCAATAGGTTGGGAAAGGATTTAGGGCCAGATCCCACTAGCCCATATTGTTCATTTCTGACCGTTGATCTTCGTAATCGAGGGTGAAAATTGAATAATCCAGGGTAGTGGGATCTGACCCTAAGTCTCGGACTCGGTCTCTGTGTCCCAAGTAGGTCTGTGCTTCCCACATTCTGCAGCAAAGAATTCGACTTCCATAAGCTAAACCGGCTGACGCTGCTGGGATAACTGCCGGCCTCGCCCCATTTTGATTCGAAATGACATTTGAACTTTCTTTGGAAAAAAAAAAAAAGGCGGAGAAAGGTATAGAAATAGAAATAGAAACAAGAAAAGGGAGATTTATTCCACAGCCACCGCCCGCAGCTGAGGGCATACTCACACGGGAACCTAGAATCCAAAAATAGTTTAAAATACCAAAAAAAAGGGGAAAAGGCGGGTCACGGATCTACCAAATTCGCAAATGTACTATTCCAGTACCCATTTGTCAGCGGCCTGGGAAGCCTCACCTCTGGAGGTGACCGCAAATGCCCTTTTGTTTTTTGCATTTTCTTCAAAATTTGGCAAAAATTCGTTGTGACCAGCCAAGTACCAAATCCCCATTTCTCCAGACGGGGCGACCTTGTCCCATCTGAAAAGGTACAGCAGTGTGACGTGAACCATGCCCAAAACCTCAAATCGGCCCTTCCCAAATCTGCATATTTTGTGTATTTGGGGTCGCCGTGTGAGTATGCCCCAAATGTAACACACGTGTACCTGTTAGTAAACAAGAGCAGAGGCAGCAGCAGCATTTTTTTTTATTTTATTTTTTTTAAAAGAACACATTCGGTTATATTCCAAAGAACACATTTGTCACGAGCCGGGGACCTCACAATTCAACCCGGAGTTATCCCGGCAGCATCAGCCGGTTTAGCTTCTGCATCACTCAGCTCAAGACTCTACCATTACCTCTGTATTCTTCCTTCCTCAACCAACAAACAATCAATCAAACATTATCAACCAAAGATAGCAGATGTTTCCACTCAACAATGTTTCATGGCTAAAACCACCTTACACCTAAGGCCTATAATCCTAGGAAATACACAGACCTAAGGCAGCCTGACCTCGGCCTAAACCAGCCGAGAGGAACAACTACTCCTTAAGAGGTGACCGGACGCTCTCCCTTCCCCCACCCGTTGCGGCCTACTGTGGCCGCCGACTGGAACCCAGTGTCCCTGGTTCCTAAAACCGAGAGGCCAGGTAAGTAATTCCTCCCTCATCCAACCTTATACTTGCCTCACTACTTGCCACTCAACCATGGGGACAATACCATCTCTCCCTCCTCGGTAACCACTGCTAACTGGCTGCCTCTTGCCCATGTAAACAGGAACCATTGTCTTCCTTTCTGACTTCTTCCCTTGTCTGCTTTCCGCACCCAATCAGCCACTATCATGGTCCCGATAACCGCTCTGATCTTGGCCTTAATCCCCTGATCTGCCGTCCACTCACTTCGAAACAATACGTTATTTCGTTCTTCCCAAATCACCCACATCACTGCCGAACGGATGGCCTGTGCCATATAGCCCCATCCCTTGCTTTTGAAGAACAGGGGAGGAAGTCTTCCTGAGAGCACCCAGTTCTGGTCCCACTGCAAAGCCGACCCGAGCCTCTGCCAGTGTATTGACCACCATCTCCAGATCCGATTGAAGCTTGGCATTCCCAGATCAGGTGGAACAAAGTCTCCTCATGACGGTTGCCGCACCTTCTGCAGGTAGTTTGGATCTCCATCCCTCTTGTTGACAGCCATTTTGCGGTAGGAACTGCAGAATGGGATAACAGCCATAAGAGGCCAGATAGTTTGAGGCTTGGTAGGACAAACAGTTGAGACCAGGAGCTGTTGACTTCTGTAGCCAGCATTGGTTCTGTTAGGGGAAGCTCCCGGGTGATCTTCCGACCTACCTCCGAAGCAAGCGAGACGCTTGAATATTGCAGTGCAGATTCCTCCCCAGCTTCGTGTTGTATTGCAATAAATTCCTTTTAACTAGTGAGTGAGCCTGCCACACGCAACTGCCTGGGTCTATCGTCAGATCTAGCAGGGCTGCCCCCCCTTGAACGGTAGCCATCCCTATCTTACCCGAACCTTCTGACTTCGGAAGTACCCTGATTTTTTTTCTTTTTTTTTTTTTTT